CTGGGCAGAGTGCCGTGGCATTACAGCTCACAGCAACCTCCAACTCCTGGGCTCAAGCGAGTCTCCTGCCTCCGCCTCCCAAGCAGCTGGGACCACAGGTGCCCGCCACGACGCCCGGCTATTTTTTGGTTGCAGCCGTCGTTGTTTGGCGGGTCTGGGCTGGGGATTCGAACCCGCCACCTTAGGTGTATGTGGCTGGCGCCCTAGCCGGTTGAGCTATAGGCGCCGAGCCTTCATGTCTAAATCTTGAACATCCTCACTGGTCCCCTCTGCTCCATGGATGTCTGGAAGCTGTCAGAGAGGGTTCTGGGGCCTAGTCCCATAGAGGCTGTATGAGGCACTCTGGAGGCTAAAGCCCAGGGTTGCCCAGAGCAGGTGCAATAGGATTAGGGTTTCCCTAGTGACAGTCCCAGAGATGTAGCCAAACTTGGGGTGTGGTGGCTTTAGGGAAGGTGACCCTTGCCCGGCCAGGGAGGCCCTCAGTTGTCTGTCCCACATCCCAGGGCCACTCACTTTCCATAGCTGTGGCTTGTCCTCTCTTTCCACAGATATTAACGCCATCCAGTACTAGCTCTTCCTGGGATAAAACACAGCTCTTTGTGGACAAAAGTTGAAGTTCCATGTTCATGGTGTGGGCAAGATAGGCATGAGAGAGAGCAAATTAGATGCTGAATGTTGGGGAGAAAAAGCCAGCAGGAGGTTAAAAATGTAACCAGGCCAGGTGCAGTGATTCATGCCTATAATCCTAGCACTTTGCGAGGTTGAGGCAGGAAAATTGCTTGAGCCCAAGAGTTTGAGGTTGCTGTGAGCTATGATGCCAGGGCATGAAGTGAGACTCTGTCTCAAAAAAAAAAAAAAAAAAAAAAAAGGGAGGGTGGCACCTGTGCCTCAAGGTATAGGGTGCTGGCCTCATATACTGGAGGTGGTAGGTTCAAACCAGGCCCCAGCCAAAAAAGAAAAAAAGAGAAATTAGGCAGGTGTGGTGGCTCATGCCTGTATTCTTAGGAGGGACTGAGGCAGGAGGATTGCTTAAACACAGAAGTTTGAGGCCGCAGTAAGCTGAGATGATACCACTGCACTCTAGATTGGTGACAGAGGGAGACCCTATCTCTAAAAAATGTAACCATGGTGCTCAGGGAAGACCCACTGCCAAGGAGAAGACATTGGGAAAGAGCATTCCAGAGTCCTAAGAGGTGCTCAAGGAATGCTGAGGAATTCATTGTAGCTGAAGCAGGTAGGAGGGGGTTGGCATAGGGCCAGCTGTCTGTACTTACAGCCCTGCTGCTGTATGGGTGAGGGCTATGGTGGCAAGAGCTGGGAAGACTGTGGAAGTGGTGGCTGTGGTCCCCTCATGGTCCAGAGAGGGCAGTAGCCATGGGGAGAAGTGGCTGTATTCTGGGTAGAGTCTGGGGGATGGGCCATCAGACCTCTACCCATGCACAGAGAAGGGCAGGCTGAATATCTGGGCAATAAGATGGCTTAAGGCCCAATGAAAGCTCCTCCTCTCCACTTCCTCTTTCCCTTCCCACCAGGCCCTGTGTGGGGATCCAGGCCTGTGAGGCCTCTAGGATGGAGGATGCCACTGATGTCGTGCGTGGCCTCATTGTTGAGCTATCCAACCTGAAGTAAGGACTGGGCCTGACTCATGAGGGACAGGCAGATGAGACAGGGACACAGGAGGGGATAGGGAGAGCCTAGTGGAGTTGGAAGAGACTGAGCTACAAACCCCACAGGTGGGCAGCAAGGGCCAGGCACATCACTGTTCCTGGGCCCTTGCTGCTTTTCCTCATTGGCATGGTAGACTGTCCTGGTCCCATGCAGAGCTGTTAGGTTGGAAGGGGGTGGGGGGGGGCAAGCTAACCTGCTCTTAGAAAGGCCGATTCTGGTTATGTGTGTGCTAGCCAGCTGTGAGGGGCAGCCTCCTCCATTGTAGGGTGCACCCAGAGCCCATCACAACTGTGCCTTGCCTGTGTTCCTGCAGCCGACTGATCATGAGCGCCCATCGTGACCTGGAAGCCTTCAAGCGCCTCAGCTACCGCAAGACAAAGCCAGCAGGGAAAGGCCCTTTGCCCTACTCGTCCAAGGTGGCTGGGATCCTTCCCCAGGGGGAGCAGCTCTGGAGAGACTCGTAGGCTTCTTTTAGCGGCCTCAACAGTAGTTTGCATGCACGTGTAGGGCAGTATATTTTCCTGTGCACACCAGCCCATGCCCTTATGGGCCGCCCAGTATTTCGTTTCCCTGCAAGATGTTCCTAGTGGATCCTAGAAACCTCCCCTCAGCAAACCTGGAAGTCAACCTTCCACAGGTTACACACAGGAGGCCCTGGTCAACATCCTCCATTGAGAGTCCAGCACAGGGAGGGAGCTGCTGTCTGAGCAGCACCCATCCCACCTGGATCTGCAAATTCAGGCTCCTGAGCTGAGGTATAGAAGGTTCAGAATTTCTTTCCTGAAGGATGAAAAGGTTCCCTTTGTTGGCTGTCTTCTCCCAATTTCCATTTTTACCTCTTGTTGGAAGGCCAGTAATAAATGATTCTGTTTTGAGGTCCCCCCTTTTGTTTAGGGTTGAGGCATTCGAGTCTTTCACGGTCCACCCATAAATCCCTTAACCATTTCTTTCTCCTTACTGCCTCAAATTTGATTCCTAAGCCTCCCCTGGGAAGGTGAGTTGGGTGAGTCTCCCTCCAGGACTAGTGGCTGTGTGCACATGCACTTGAGCCCACACTCAGGGACCCACGGGGCAACAAGCCCTCTGAGAGGTCATAGGGTCATGGGTGACCACCTAGCTGAAGAGTGAGTCCAGCGCTCAGATGGCCTGGCTCAGCCTCGACTAAGTAAGTT